TCCTGCAGGTAAAAATAATTAAACGGTCCAAACGGGAAATATAATAGGATTAACTTTTTACTTTGCGTCCGGTTTCCTATTTTWAATTTATTTTGGTTGCATTGAATACATGTGGCAGGCGCGAAAAACTATGTTTCGATTCCCGCCACAACTGGACATATGAATGAGCAGACGCGTCTGCATGGACCACGTGATAATAATGGAAGCTTCCATCTTCAAAGGGATTTACTCTTTTTGCCTTTGATTCTTATTACATAGACTTCCAAGTTTCAAGCTAAAAAGGTTAGAAACCTAACTTATTTCTAGGCAGTATTTACAAAAGTTCTTTGTATTTAGACTCACAAGACTCAGCATGTCTTTTCTTTTTCAAAGGTCGATTAACGGATCCTAAAAACGATGGTCAGAATGGAAGTCAGAAAACGAATATTTAAGTAATATATAGAGTGAAGTTTGGGCTTGAATAATATTTCAATTGCAACCCGTTGTTGCAGGTTATCTGGAAAATTAGGACTAAAGGTTTATACTACGTTATGGAGGTGAGTCTACATTGTGTATTCAAAGGCATATACATTATACATCGTCAGAATAGGCCTTTATTTAGTTTGGGCATAATTATTCTCCTTTGTTGCATTATTTATCATCGAGTGGGTGATGGTCCTCGGGGATTTTTAGGAGGAGGCTGATGGGTAGAAGAGGAAGAAGCAAGATCAAAAAACTGAAATCTCCTGATTATCATCAATTTGCTTAAACAGATAAACTTAAACTTATTTACTCATTAAAGATTCTATTTCTAACACTCAAGTAATCTTCCTTCCTTCCTTCCTTCCTTCCTTCCTTCCAGATAATAGAAAATCGTCTTCTTTCTCGCTTTAATAAACTAATAATTATTCTACCAAAACAGCGCGCTATGTTTTTCAATCAGGAATAACAAACCTTGCCATATATTCATTCACCTTTGGTTATAGACAAATAATAAATCAGTTTCTTAAGTTATTATTGTCTGCAGGGGACACGGAATAACAAAACTTGCCATTTATTCATGATTTCTACACAAAATTGACTCTTCTCTTGACTAAGCTTATTCGGCTTGTTTGCTTTCTAAGGATAAGACACCTATTTCAAACTAAAAAACATAGAGTGTGGCTCGGTCCTGATTTCATATTTCAAATTTCATATCTAGAGCCGATAAAGTCTTTTGAAATAGGTGTATAATTTGACATTTCATACGGCTTTGGTTATAGACAAATAATAAATCAGTTTCTTAAGTTATTATTGTCTGGAGGCGTTGTTTATGATCATACCTAGGAAATGCAGCAGGCGTCGGTGTTAATCAACAGGTGTACTAATGTTATAAATAATAGAGCCCATAGGCCGATGGAATGGTGACTTTGTCATTAAGAGTTTTTCATAGGATTGGACACATTCCATAGGATTTGACATCTTCCAGAAGGATCGGACATCTTCCTGTGTGTGTGTGTATATATAGAGAGAGAGAGACCACCTTGGTGAGGAAGACGAAACCTCGTATCAAAAGGAATATTTAACTTTAATCAGCTTTAAGTCTGTTTTAGGGTAAAATTAATCGATTGAATTTCAAGATTTGTTTCGATTCGGCAGTACACTAGGGATGCAGGGGCGAAGACCAAAACTCAGGCTTCCATTTCATCGATTATGAAGTCGAAATATTCAAGAAAAATAATGTCCTATGTCAAGAAAATTGATTTCCTCTGGGTTACTAAATGGTTTTAAGATCTAATTATTTTTATGGAGTTACTGTGAATTCGATGGATCGATACAAATCTGTTTCTATTACGTTTATACATCATGAAATAAGTTGGTCTTCCAGCAGAAATAAAACAGTTCATATTTTTGTCATGTAAACGCACCTGCGCTAAAAATTAGGGGAACATCTCCATGGTGAAAATATCGTATCCCTCTTAATTAACACAGCAGCACCTGCTGCGTGCTAGTACACTTATTTTGTTATATAGAGAAGAATTACATTCATCCTCTAGCTTGGGTTCCTTGCAGTTCAACGATATGCTCGTAATGACTTCTTATTTAAGGATCGTCAGTGCTTTACCAAGGATTAATGTATCCCCTTAAATTAACACAGCAGTACTGACCTGCTGCGTGCTAGTACACTTATTTTGTTACATAGAGGAGAATTACATCTTAGCTTCAGTTTGATTGCAGTTCAACGATATGCTCGTAATGACTTCCTATCTAAAGATAGATAATGTACCAAYGATTAACCTCTGGGCTGTCTTTGTCATAACTGTGAGTATAAATCTGTTTTTAATATTATTGTACCTCCTTAAATAAGTTTGTCCTCCAGAAATTCAAAAAGTGCCTATTTTTGTCATGTAAACTTACCTGCGCAAAACATTACTGCAATCATAACTACTATCGGCTGCCATTAAACATTTAAGTATTGTTATGAGAGAGAAAATTAATGTTTTTACAGACTAAGCTAGACATCAGTTTTCTAATTACTATTTCTTATCGTGTGAAAACAAGATAAAGAACGATCAATTAGTTATTGAAAATATCGATATAAGATTCAGTAAGGCTACCATCACGCACGAGTTTGGATGATGCTATGCTTTGAATTGGCAAGTAAACTTCTTAGCTCCTCCCATTAGCATGTACACCTATGGTTACGCCCTACACACTCTTTACCCCTTTGCTTAGTTATTTTGGCACTATTCTTTTAAATCTTATGATATAATTATTCCTCGTAGACCTTTCTATACATTTACCATATATTCACATGTTATCTTTAGTTTAAGCTATGTTCAGTTCTATGATTTTCACTCGTATTACTCTTAATAAGATATCACACTTAGGAATTTACTATTTCCATTAGCCAATCAAGACTCGGCGATAATATCATATTGATTGAAAAATGACACCTGTCATGAAGTTATTATAAATAGAGCTCATGTAATTAGTTTAAGTCAGAAGAGTAGAGATAGAGTATAGAAGAAGAGAAAGT